TACTCACCTTGAATGCCATGTTGCTGTTTTGGGAGTTGGTTGAGTTCTTTACAGAGGTAAGAGTAAATGTCGAATGATACTGCTTCTGGAGTGCGAAAAGTATTTATAGGCTGTCGCACTGCTGAACTCTGATAGCCGATTTGATTATGTCTGCATAGCGGTAATCGTAAGGTGCTTAACTGTGGCCTTCTGCATACCATGCTTGAAATTAGCGCAGTCACCACGCCGAAGTCGGCCAGCTGGCCAGTAGCCGAAGAGATTGTCAAGCTGCACAGCAGCAGCCTCTGCCGCTGAGGCATCGACAGCGGGATCGACAGCGGGAGCAGCAGCGGCAGCAGCGAGAGTGAATGCAATCGAAAAGGGTAAATTATTTAGAAAGGATTTGGGATCTTCTTGTAACCAAAAAATCATCTCGAGCAATGCGCCTCTGCATCCGAATTACATCTGCTCATGTTATCTCTACATTATCAGGCTTACGATTGGAAAGAAAACATAATGGGATGCGATTACAGAAGATCTGTCCTTGAACTTTGCTTGTACATTCTAAAAACTGGCCTCAAATACATGCTCATATGTGCTCAAACACAAATTGCAAAATTCATTTGTTAAGTTAGGTATACTTTAATTGTTACACTTGCCAACCTTATTAAGGTGTGGCCTGAGTTGCTTTTTGGTGGCTCTGTCTTATGTCACTTGTAATTATGAGCAATGAATACATTTTTAACAAGCTAACATTTAAATGAGTTGGGTTAATACTGTCTGCTCCAAGTAATACCATTAGAATATCAAATCTTAAAGGTTTCCATAGCATTTATTTATTGGACTTCTGAGAAAATCATCACAAGTTGAAAAATAATTACTATTATGATAATATTTAATATAGTCGTAAAAAGTCTGAAATACTTTATATTTATTTTTACTTACGTATGATTGTGCATGAGCTAAATTTTTATCGGGCTCAATTTAATTGTATAAGAATCTATGAAATTTTTATTTAATTTTGACATTCATAGAAATAATTGGTTAGTTATGAACTTGATGTTCGATTTCATTAAGATATTCTGATAAATCTGCCACTTTTCTTATATTTAATTTTAGCTAATGTTCGTTTCTATGAATTATGTATGGTAACTATAAAGCACCGTTAAGCTCTGCCTTATCTGCGCATAAGCTCTGCGCGTGTGCCATTCCCGTTCGAGCGGAATCCCTCTCTTTTTGGCTACGGTTCTCGTAGAGCAAGCTGGATTATTATAAGCACACCCACAGTACCTTCGAACAGGAAGTAGCAGCAATCGACAGCCAGCCACCAATCAACGGCGCAAGCACTAAGCGTTGCTGTCACCATGAAAATACAACGCTCACTCGCAGCTGCGCTGCTGGTACGACTATTCGCTATATAAGTTAAGGCTTTCGCCCCGAAATGTATCATTCGCAAATCAAGTTCACTTCTGTAAAGAACTCAACCAACTCCCAAAACAGCAACATGGCATTCAAGGTGAGTACGGTTGCTCATTTGATTCCCACAGACATGTACTAATGGATTATTTCGCTCCTCTCCAGTTTGTTTTCGCACTCGCCTTCGTCGCGGTGGCCAGCGCTGGCTACGTGCCCGCTGCTCCAGTTGCCACCTATGGCGCCCCCGTGGCTGTGGCACAGAAGGTGGTGGTCAAGTCCGACGAGACCTACGATCCCCATCCCCAGTACCGTTTCTCGTACGGCGTCGACGATAAGCTGACTGGCGACTCCAAGGGTCAGGTGGAGGAGCGTGACGGCGATGTGGTCCGTGGCGAGTACTCGTTGGTCGATGCCGATGGCTACAAGCGCACCGTCCAGTACACCGCCGATCCTATCAACGGCTTCAACGCTGTGGTCAACCGCGAGCCCCTTGTCAAGGCCGTCGTTGCCGCCCCAGTTGCCCACTATGCTGCCCCCGCTGTGGTCAAGACTGTTGCTCCCGCTTACTCCACCTATGCTGCCCCCGC